ATATATATAACACAACACATATAAAGGGACTTCGGAAAGTTTGTTGAAAAATGGATTTTTCCATGAACATTTAGAAGTCCCTTTGTGTGTGTGAGAGAGAGAGAGCCACAAAGTTTCAGATTGATTAGTAGACATGTGGAAACTGTCCCATTCAAGAGCTTAATTAGTAAAAAAAAAAAAAAAAAAAGAGCTTCATTAGTCACTAGGGAGATACAAATTGAAATCACATTGAGATACTACCTTATTCCCATTAGAAAGGCAATGATCAAAAAGGGGGGTGGAATTATAGGTGTTAGGAAAAATGTGGAAACATGAATCCTCATCCATCATTGGTGGAAATGCAAAATGGTAGCAAACTCTGAGTCAATTCAGACTCAGAGCCCCTATTGGACAGAGTAGACCTGCCCCTATGGGTTTCCAAGATTGTAAGATGGGTACTGGAGTTGAATGGAAAGCCTTGTCTTTCTCTAATGGAGGGGCTGGTGCCCTTGAACTGCTGACTGTGGTTACCCATCCAACAGGTAACCCTCTCTGCCACCAAGGCTCCTCGAAAGATAGGAGAGCTATTTTTAAAAACAGCATGGGAATTTCTCAAAATGTTAAACATATAACTCTCTACTGATTCACCAACCCTAATTCTTGGCGTAGATCCAAAAAAACAAAAGTGGGAATGCAAAAAGAAATGTGTGCACAAATGTTCATTGAGGTATTTTTCACAAAAGTCCCAATGTGGAAACATCTGAATGTCCATCAACATATAAATGGACAGCAAAATGCGGCGCATACACCCAGTGGAACACCACTCAACCATAAAGCTAAACAGAGTTCTTACAGGAGTGTGGGTGGCATAGTGGGTAACATGTTGGGCTGATAACCATAAGGTTAGCAGTTAGAATTCACCAGCAGCATTGTGAGAGAAAGATGAGGCTTGCTGCTTCTGTAAAGATTTACAGCCCTGAAAACCCAATGAGGTATTCTAGTCTACCCTACAGGATTGTTTTGAGTCTTCATTTACTCAACGACAGTGAGTTAATATGTGCCACACTATGGATGAACCTTGACAATACAATGTTGATCGAAATAAGTTAGTTCACAAAAGAACACAATGGTATGACTTCACTTACATGAAATACATAACTCTATAGAAACCAAAGCTTATTAGTGCTCTCTTGGGTGAGTAAGAGTGGGCATGGGGACGCTTTTGTTTGGGAAACACTGAGTTTGAGGTTAATGGTGGTGAAATAATGGGAAAGCAGAAAGAGGCACGGCTTATGCAGCACAAGTCTTGGAATCAATTTCACTGAGAAACTGGTTGGCGAACGTTCTGTTGGGTATATTTTCACCACAATTTAAAATGAAAGCATCTACCTGTTGTCTTGTGATTCCACCAAGTTGATGTGGAAATGTCATCGTATTACTCTCATGACTATACCTTTTATGATAATTCACCCTCTTTTTCTGGCTAGTTTTGAGATTTTTACTTCAGTGCTTGATTTTCAGCACTTTTCTCCAATTGGCTTCAGTGTTACATTCTTTTGACACTCCTAATTGAGCATTTGTAAAACATTCTGAATCTGGGGTGCTGTGTTGTCATATTTTCTTTATTTCTATTTATTCACTTTTTTTCTCTGTGATTCAAGGTGTATATTTTCTGCAGTCATCTAATTCTCTAAATCTTTTTCTTACTCATAATCACACCTATTAATTTCAGTTATTATTACTGTAGTGGTGAAATTTAAATTTAATTTTATAGATTACAATTATCTTAAGTAATTCCATATTTTTAATCTAGTTCAAATGCCACATATACTTATTTTAAAGTTAATGTCTGATAACTCCAATATGTGAATAATCTTTGGGTCTATATTATAATCAAGGTGTCCTGGATAAGGTCAAACTCACCAACCTCTCCTTGGGAGAAAGATGAGACGGTCCCTGTGTGGATTTACACTTTCAGAAACTCCAGGGAGCAATCCTACTCTGTACAGCAATTGGGACGTATTTTTGTACATTGCTGCGTGCTCACTCGGCCACTCTTGCTTCTTATCAGGATAATTAAAAACACTGAATTTCATTATAGATTTTTCACCCTTTACAACCATGAATATAGACTGACTCAGCTGGAAACCACAGGAGTATCTCCAGTTTACCTGAACATCTTGGAATTAGATGGCTGAAACAAGTAGACCTTTGCCATTTGGCCTAATGAACATATTTAGGCGCTTTTACTGAAACTACCAGTCAAGTAATGCAGAATACTATTTTCTTTGATTATCATTCAGTATGCTGTCGACTTGTCTTCAAAATAATCCAACACACCTAGGTTTGAAATATGCAGCATTATATTAGCAAGTTTAAATCTAATCCTCTGTTTCATATTTGATTACTAAAAAAATTAACCTTGCATAACTCTTCAATCATTTATTAAATTATTCCCAGTCTTTAAAATCATTCTCTTTTCTACTATAAGTTCTCTCCCTATTTTGGTAATTCACTTTTTGAATAATTTTCTATGGAATCCTATTCAAGATGCTCTAAAATGATATACAAATTATACTTAATGCTTACTTTTCTCTAATGTCTCTTATTTGTCTGCATTGAAACATTTTGTAGATCCATCCAATCTATACTCAGCCAAAAACACGTAATTCACAGACTAAATATCTAGATATAGATAGATACAATGGGACACCTGCCCCCCCACCAAAAACACCCACAAAAACAGAATAAAGCTTGCTGTGTAGAACTTTCATAATATGTATTGTTCCCACTAGGAGAACATCAAGCAACTTGATCTGAGTTAGTGCACCCAGTGGTGTTGCCTGGGAAGGTTCTCTCTGTCTCAGTAAATTTTTTTTCATAAAAGCAGTTTCACTCGAAACTCATTTTTTGATGGCCGATTTAAGAGAACAGAAGGCGGCTGTGAATTTTTTTTTTCCTGCTCTGGAAAAATGCCACAGAAACTGTTGTGATGTTGAACACAGCTTACAAGGACAGCGCTATGGGAAAAACACAAGTGTATACGTGCTGCTCTCATTTCAAAAAGGGTGAAATGTCAATGGATGACAAACATCATTCAGATGTCCATCAACTTCCCACATGGAGAAAATGTCGACAAAATCCGTGCCCTCATGTTCGAAGGCCAACGACAGATGACTGAAGAGATGGGGAAGTTATTTGGACTATCTTGGGGTTTGGTTCAGCGAATTTTAATAGAAGATTTGGGAAAGAGAAAGGTTGCTGCGAAATGTGTGCCTCGATTCTGACTGACCAGCAAAAAGAGTGCTGACTGGAAACATCCTGTGCTTTGAAAGAACAGCTCCAAAGTGACCCACACTTTTTTCCAAGGTCATTACTGGTGAGGAGATATGGTGCTATTCTCAGGACCCCGAAAGCAAACATCACGTAAGCCAGTGGAAGATGTCATCATCATCTTGGCCAAAAAAAGCTCGTCAAATGAAATCAAAGATCAAGACGATGCTCACTAGTTTTTTTTATGTCAGAGGGATCGCGCATTTGGAGTTCATTCCCCAGTTCAGACTGTTGATCAAGCTTTCTGGTTAGAGGTTTCAGAAAGATGGCAAAACAGCGTCTGACAAAAAAGGCCTGATTTATGGCAGTGGGGGCACTGGTTTGCCACCATGACAATGCAGCTGTCTCCATGTACCAGCTTTTCGCAAAAATCAGCAGGCTTCTCTTGTCCTATGCACCTGAGTCACCTGACCTTGCTCTGTGTAACTTCTTTTTGTTTCTACAAATGAAGAGGGACATGGAAGGACAGCCATTTGAGGACATAGAAGAAGTGAAGGGGGAAAATGAGGGAAGTGCTGTCAGCCACCCAGATGGGTTTGAAAAATGTTTCCAAGAATGGAATTGAAAATTTGACAAATGTATTAAGTGTAATGGAGAATACTTGGGAGGTGATATGGCTGTTTTGTAGAAATAAATAAATACATAGCTTTGAAAAAGAAATTCTAGATTTTGGGGGGTACTCCCACAAAGGTATTTCCTCCAAATTCACTTTTACAAACGCCTTTCTACCTCCTTGTTTTCTCTACTATATATGGACTTCGTTTTACTTACCCAGGTAACTAGTGGCTTCCTTGTCCCAAGGCCAGGTGGCTGCACCTGCAAGATCTTCTCGGACGGAACTGGCAAAGTAGACATTCAGGAAGTGAGTACTGTTGGGCTGCAGGGTCTCCTTCAGCTCCTTCACACTCATGTACGCCCTGGAGGTGCACGAAAAGGAGACGTCACACCCAGGGATCTGCACTTCAAGAACACCAGCGCTGTATCTAATCAGACGCTGCCACTCCCGATCAGCAGAGAGAGCGAGAACCCAAACAGATTGTTGTGTGGACTGGCATCTATGATCAAAATGGCTGCTAATGTTCACCCGCAATCAGTAGAAATGGCTAATGTTCCACATACCTCTCATCTACACCGATTTCAAGAAGCGAAAACAGAAGATATTAGTATTTATTTTTTCTAAACCTCAAATACTTCTTAGTGCCTTTTCTCTTCAGTAGGAAAAATAAGGTCTAAAATGATGAAATGATGAACACACATCTTTGTTCCTCTCAGTTTTGTTGGTTATTGAGATGGTGGGCAGTTCACTGAATATTAACATTGCTAACAAAACCAATAATGATTAATGCTTATCAAACAATTGTTATATGCTGACCCATATATGCATTATACAATTTCTATTCTCACAGTTCAGTTGGGGGAGAGAATACTAGTCTTCTTATTACATACATGAAGAAAATTATTTTTGGAAAATATAATTTATCCAAGGTCACAAAGTTATTAAGTAGGAGAATGATGACCACTAACTAATTGATATCATACCCATTTCTCTACTCAATATACAGCTCACTTCTTCAATATAAATCCAGTGAAACTGCTAATAGAATTACTCCCAAGTCAAGGTTAAGACGTCCTTCCAAATCCCAGTCCCTGGTTCTTTCAATCATATTGCATAGTTTCTATTATGATAGGAATTTCAATTGAACTTTATTTCAGCATATGCTTATGCTAAGCATTATCAGTTTGAAGAAAATAATGGATAACATACAAAGGTTAAAACAAAGAAAGATGAGGATATTATTTATATAGAAGAGAATAATACAAAGCTTCTGAAATGATTGCTAATTGCATAATCATTTCTCTTCTTTTTACATTAACTCATAAAAGCAGAGTGCATGGAGAGATGAGCATAGAAGATCAAGGGCATAAATTTGACTTGAACAGTTAAAACGTTGTCAGTTGATCCGCCTCCCATTTCCTGATACATGTCTGATGTAATCTGATTTTCAACTCATGCCTGACCTAATCCGGCTGTTCATATTAGGGTGTATCTCAGCGGTGTCATGTCATTGGGGGGGGGTGTCACTCTCTCGATGTTGTGTTACATGTCTTTCTGATTTGTGGTGTAGGAAACCCAGGATTGATACACCTTTAGGGGCAGCAAGTAGAATAAGGGTTCAGTCAGGCGTAGGGGTGGGGGAAGGGAGACGATGTCAAGGAGTCTGTGAAGAAAAAAAAGGTTTTTAAACTGATTGTGGTAGGAATTGTACAATGTTGCTTGACATGACTGAACTATGGAATGATATGTTATATGTATTAACTACAAGTTGATAACAAACTTTTAAAAACTCCACCTCCTTATTGATAATAACAAAACAATAAAATAAATGAATAAACAAACTACATACACAAAACAGAATACTCTGCGATGTTGCAGAATAATGAAGCTGTAAAACATCAGTACATACTATGGGTAACTCTGAAGGCTGTCATGCTTAGTGAAATTAGTCACAAAAGGACAAATGATGTATGTGACCACTAGTATGACAAGTCAAGAGAAGCTATACATATAGAAAGAAATATTCTTTCAGGGGTACCTGGGATGAGCAGGGAAGTCACTCACTAGAGAGCAAACACAGGAAAACCTGGGCAAAGTTAATGGCATGATACAATAAGAGATAGTTTCCCACAACATGTACAAGGTACATGAAGACCCTGTGAAGTATACAAGAGTAAAAGACCACAAAGATAAATTCTGTTGCATATACAATCCTGGAATAATTGTAAGAACAAAAAATATCCAGGACTTGATACATAGGTAGACCTGCAAGCTGAATAAACATTGAAAGGCTAATGGAAATACACACATAAGTATAAAGAAACTTCAAAAAGTTTGTCGAATAAATGGAATGAAAAGATAACAGGATTCCTCCACAAATTTTTTGAAGGCCCCTTGCCTATGTAGGTGCTGAAAATATATTCAAGGATATAGTAGATCAGGGAGCCACATTCTGAAAAATGTTAGCCACACCAATCACTTTAAACTTAGAGACACTGGGCTTGAGGATTTAGGACCACACTGCAAGGGACATCGAGGTCAGTTGGCACAGAGACAATGTTCTACATCTACTTTGATGAGGACCAACTGGGGTCTTCAATGCTTGCAAGCAGCCGTGCATGATGCAACTATTCTTCTCACCCCCACCGGAGCATAGAAGAATAAATACAACCAGAGACTCGAGGCAACAGTTAGTACAAAAGATTAATGGACAACCCCAAACCATAGCTCTGCAACCCTGATACCAGAAGAACTAGATGATACCCAGCTACCACTGAAGGCTGCTCTGATCTGGATAACAATAGATGGTGCTGGGCAGAGAAGGATGAAAAATATTCAAAATCATAAGGGAGAGAGAGACAGAGATTGATTTACTGGTCAGAAAGGGTTTAGTGAAATACCACCACCACCCCTCCTTCCATCCGTTCCCTCTACTTCCCATTCCTCACCCCTCTTCTGTGGCTGTCAGATACCTTTTAAGCCTGGAATTCTTTTTTTTCCCAAAGCAAATTCAGAATTCAAGAAGGGAAAGGAAAAGGAAGAACAGAAATAGAGAACCCACGGAGGAAGTATGAACTGTGTTCCTATATCGAGGGAATAACTAGTGAACTAATGTCACAACACAAATCCCACATAAGTTGTTGAATAGAAAATAAATTGGTTCTATGCACTTTCACCAAATCCACAATAGTTGAAAAATAAGTAAATAAATCACTCAAAACCCCAAACCTCTACCTCTGTCCTTACTGCCTTATGATACTCATTGAGTATCTCTCTTGGTGGCCTTCAAGGCACTCAAAAACTCACTGCCCTCTGGCCCATTTCAGCTCATGGCAATCCCATGACTGAGTAGACCTGCCCCTGTGGGTTTCCCACACTGTAACTTTACAGGAGTAGAAAGCCTCATCATTTCCCCCAAAGAACTGTTGGTGGTTTCAAACTGCTGACCCTGAGATTCGCAACCCACACAGTATTATGTTTGCATTTACACACAAAATTAAAGGTCTATTGAAATCACATGCACTATGGACCTGTTAAAAAACAACAAATAGTTCCTTTCTTTGTAGATTGTTAGATAGTCAGAGACCTTCGTCTTTCTGGCAGCAGCCAAAATTGAAACTTTACTATGAGCAAGGAGAGCATCTGTCCTTCTCACGTGCTATTTTAAGAAAGAACAAATAAACTGGGACTTAATAGTCTACTGGATTCACTGGATGCTTCCCCCTGTTTCATTTCAAAGAGAGAAATGTTTTCATCACAGTTTTAGCTGGGCAGGCAGCTCCTTTAACCTAAGGTGGAAACTCCCTGCATAGATTATTCTTCGCTGTTGCTCTTCGCGTAGACAAGCCCAGATTCTGAAATTTCTCAACCCAGAAGTGAATGTTAGGACAGCTCGACCCTTCTTCTCTTGTTTGCTCTGCCTCTCCTGCTCGCCTGCCAGCCATGCTTTTGAAGGCATCTATTTAACTCATAGCTTAAACAGATGCTGGCAAGGAAAAAACTACACAATAATAAAGAGATTTTATAAAAGATTATTATTGTATTCTTTGTCACAGAACCAAAACCTAGAATCATAGTAAAACAAAACAAAAAAGATCTTGCTAGTGAACCAAAAATGCTTATTTCTTATTGACGTATACTATTTTTGAAAGATTCTAAGCTCCAACAATCTAACTCCCATGAGTTGTCGTTTGTGATCAGAAGAATATTGATTTTCCTACTTTCTTAGAAAAAATGGTTGTTTGGGCTGTCATGTGATTTTCCCTGTACGTTAGTTAGAGCCCCTCTCATTAATCATAACTACAATTTCCTCGATTGACAAATTGAGGGTTTGGGACAATGCTGACATTAAACCAGCTCTTCAATCTGGAGACATTTCAATAGATCAAGAAAGGAAGAGAGAAAAGAGGAAGAAAAGAAAGAAAGAAGAGAGAAAGGAAGGACAGAAGAGAAGGTGGGAAAAGAAGGGAAGGAGGGAGGAAATTAACAAAAGAAAGGGACTCATGGACTGAGACTGCTCAGTAAGGGTATCAATGAACAAAAGGGATCAACAGTCTGTGTTTCTCTTCTAGGCTTCCGATTGAACTTAAGGTCTGGTGACTTTGACAGTTTCTTCTCCTTTCTCCTCCTCCACTTTCCCCAAACCACCATGCAACTAGCTTCTGTTATGGCTTCTCTGTCGTTTACCCATCTTGGCCACCCCATTTCTACATGCCCTCAACCGATCCATTCCACTCCTTTTGCTTGAGAACCTTCCAAAAAATCTCCTTCTCTACTACCAATCTCATCTCCCTCTCCCTTTGTGTTGGTCTGGGTACTTTAGAGAAACAAATCCACGGAAACTCATGTTTAAGAGAGAGTGTTATATAAAGGTTAAGTGAGCATCAAGAAAACATCCCAACCAGTGCTGCCCAAGCCCACAAGTCCAACATTAACCCATATGTCCGACACCAATCCACAAAGTTGTCCTCCATCTCACAAAACACACACTATGATCCTGACTGCAGGAAGAAAGCCAAATCAGTGAATGTGTAAGCATCTCAGTGCTGGCATGGGTTTCTACACGGCTACTCCAGCACCCAGGGCTGCATTGGGGTAGGTCCATGCGGCTTCTCCTCAGGGATGTCTTTCAGGAAGTGAGCCTTGCCAGCTGAAGCAAGGAACTGACTAAGGCAGCTGCACCCTGGTCCAACCATCACAAAGCAAGAGACCCGAGAGCTAGAAAGGTGAGGCTTACAGAGCCATTTATCCCTCCAGCCTTCAATTAACCCCACATGTGTTTATTGGCCAGGTTGGCACAATAAACTATCTACCTCACCCTTCTTGCCTATCCCCTCTCCAGTCATAAATGATCTTTCCAGA